CAGTTAATGAAATTACGGTATTTAACTGTAAATTTAAGTTAAAACCGTAATACCTCAAATGTAGCTACCATATTTTTTACGGTAAAATTCTGCCAACCACAGCTGCCGGATTTTTACCGTAAATTTTACGGAATTTTTTTTTACAGTGCAATTAGCACAAAGTGAGAATTATTAGAGGACTACTTTCAATTCAAACAGTTTTACTTCTTATTAAAAATAGCCATGAAAACCCCATCACAAGTGCAAGATGATAGCGAACACAAGTGCAGGGAGTTTATCTGCAGGAGGGAGGGAAACAGGTTAGTGACAGTTCAATAACTCAACGATGACTTAACTTTAGGGTGATTGCAATGTCCTTGCAGATTTGTCAGCGTCTGAACTATTGAGGTGGAGCACACAAGGGATACAATGAAGGAGACACAACGATAGAGATACAGTACAGGAGCTAAATTAAGAGAGGCCAGCAGTATCAGCAATGACAAAGCCATGCAGTGTCCATTGATGAAATCAAAGACAGGAGTGAGTCTTTATGACCTTTTTTTGCTACCTGAGATGAAATCTAATAAGTGATTTGATTTGGAACACCTCACTTAGGTAGCAACACGAGTAGCAAGCCACATGCCATATTTGACCAATGGGTAATTCGATTAGAGTTTGTTGAGTTCTGTTTACATCGGAAGTTTGGAAATGATGTCACACCTGAGTTGACCGTGTTCCAGTACACAAATCAGAAAACCAAAATGGATGGGTCAATTGTTAGCATTGCAAGTCGATAAAAACACATTATAACGCAGTATAGTGTCCATGTACATGTTTGGAGCAGCCTGAAGTGTACTTGTTAAGTCGACTCGATCCCTATGTCAAAATCAAGGGGTCGAGGGTCTGTCCATATAAACTTCCCTCATCCACTTCAAGAACTGGAACGCACTATAAAATGGTGGTGAGAATCCCCCCGAGGGAAAGTGCTTAGGGAAGTTCACGAGTGTGTGTATAAAACTGAAGTGGAACACACCCCGAGTTTCTGAGACAAAACACCGATTTCAGGGGCGTTCATTTAAAAGTTCCTACTAAGAAACTGGAATTTTGAACATCCAAGTACAATTAGAAAACACTACTAGTTGACACATTGGTAAGCTAAAAACATGATACTGCAATAAACATAAAATACACAGCCAACACTTGTCTCATTTTGTCCGTCATATAAAATTTCCTTTATAAAAATCCTTTGCCGAGAAGGCAATCCTGCAAAATAAGCGGAGTGCCAATGGAAGCAGTTCACTAGTTTAATGCGAAAAATGAATATATATATTGTTAAAATCCTAATTTATGACAGGACATGACAAACATATGTTTTCTTCTTTGATATCTACTGCATGATAGCTGTCTTTAAGCCTGACCTGACAGTGGCCGGCCCTCAGACTAGACTGAAATAGCTCTCAAATTGTCTGTCTCTAGTACAAGCTTGGCTTTGCAGTGCAATGGCGTGTCTAGAGGTACTCTCCAAGCCGCTGGAGGTTGATGAGACAGGCCCATGCTGAGATGAGCCACTCCAGTGTGACAGCTCGCTGTAGACCCTGTCATCCTCTGAACCAACAGAAAGCGACAGTCATACGGTCGGGGACAGTGTATCCAGTGCTCAGCGTTCAGGACCATGGAGAGCTCCACACCAGCATTATCTCTGCAGTAGGGATCGCAAAACATTTCAACACTGAAACTCCTCACATTTTCCACCAGTTCTTTAGATGATACTCATAATAATGGTTATACAGTTTCATCACAATTACAGAATCACTTTCATTGCCAAATATTTTTATAATTTTTAATATTTGCCAAATTGCTGAGTCCTTAGCCATCTTCAAGAAACGGCTAAAACACATCTCTTCCATCTTTATTTGACCCTTTAACTCTAGCACTCTCTATTCTAATTCTATTTTATCTATTTGTTTTCTTTGTTTTATAAAAAAAAACACTTGACCCTCTATCACTTGCACTCTATTCATTTTCTAACTGCTTGTTTTCAAAAAACTCTAACACTAGCTTTCTATATTCTTTTTCTATTCTATCTACTTGTTTTCTTTGGTTTTGTGTGTGTGTGTGTGTGTGTGTGTCATATATATGTGTATATAAAAAACATTAAAAATAAAAAAATAACCTTGCTACATGTACTGCATTGGGCTAACTGAGACTTGTCATAGCACTTGCATTTTATTGCTCTTTTGTTAGTTTTGATTGCTTGTATTGTCCTCGTTTGTAAGTCGCTTTGGATAAAAGCATCTGCTAAATGACAAAATGTAAATGTAAATATGTACAGTCAAACCAAAATTTATTCAGACACCTTCAACATTTCTCACATTATCACAGTTTATTTGCTATAGTTTAGAAAATGGTAAAACATGCCAGCAAAACATGGTAAGGTCAAAGTGTCTGAATAATTTTTGGTCCCAAATTTTTATCAGTTTTACTGGAAGTCCACTGTATGAAGAATTTTTGGGTATAATATGTCACAGTTCATTTTATGTTTCTATCCTCACTTACATAAATGAACTATAGTGTCCTGCACCCACCAGTAAAAAAAAATATCAAAAATGACATCTGGAGTCTGAATAATTTTTGGTTTGACTGTATCATATAGGGGCTGTCAGCCTTTCAGTTTAATTTCATTGTCCATATCTCTTGTTTAGAAGGTTTGAAATATTCATACAGTGATGCAGCAAAGACAGATTCTATATTTTATCATCTTTCTCAGTCTCATCTCTGAATGAATTCCATGTGTTTGTGTCCTGACTGATGACATTCACACCTGGTGCAGCAGGCAAATCTTATGAGCACCTGTTGACGCTTTCCTACCCATCAGTGTATCTCACGCTTCAGAAACCGGGAAGCCTGGTTGCCGCTTCTCCCAAAATAGTGACAGATCCGGCAGCCTTGAACAGTTGAAGCGCATAGGTGTTGATTATGTCACCTCATTTACAGGCGTGAAGAATCTGAGATTCGTCCTTCTCTGCCTACTTCAAGCGTGGGCTGACAGTTTCTGTCATAACCTCAGGCCAATGCTAGTGACACACTCATAACTCAGAATTGGGAATCTGAAATTTGCTTTTCTCTTGAACAAGCTGAAACATCTTGAGACTTTGTTATACAGTGATAAAAAAGTGTTCATATATCTCTGAGAAAGTTTACTTTATGCCCTAAAGTCAGTTGTTAAGTTTACCTGTTTACACAAACACTGAAAACTCTGTCATGCATGCATAAGAATGCTAAATGTTAAGGAAAGAAAGCAAGAGGCAAAACAGATGGCTTGAGAAGTATTAATGTGTGCAGTGGTTTACTAAAGCCGGGCTTGTAATCACTGTTACATAAACTGCTCACTGTCTGCTCCCCTGTAGATGCACAGCCTGAAAACTAACAGTTAGTGTCACCAATGCACACTATCAAAAAGCCAGTTGGCGTATTTTCTTGGCATACTACGCACTAAGCATTTCCCAGCCTTCTTTGTGTCAAAGGACAAAGGTTGCTGGTGCTAGTAGGAAGGATATAATAAGTTAAAATATGCAGAAAAGTGTTGTACACGCATGCATTAGAACAGAATGCATTAGAACGCGTGCATTGCTTTGCATATGTGAGACTTTAATTAGAAGTATTTGAAAGCATTGGCTTTGACAGTGTAACTGTTAAGACCAAGTAAATGAGGAAGATTGTAACACAGTCAGTCAAAGATCAGGTACAATGATTCTTCTAACTCAAGAATGGTGAACACACAGAATGAAAACATGCATTTATATCTCAACATATCCAAACAAAGGTTATTCTGAGCAATATTGAGTACAAATAGTTGCAAAAAGTAAAAGTACTGAAAACAAAAACGGTTTTGGAGCAAGGATGTGACTACATTTTATGAACATTACAAGAAATGGCATACATTTGTAAAAGTCTCATGACCACCATTT